TCATGGTTGGCCCTTCAGAGCTAATCCACAAGGGTTTAAGTGTTTCTTAAAACAGTGAGGGAGCGGGAGTGAGAGGGAGAGACTCTGAAGTCTAGTGATTTGTGGCTACACTGGATTGGATGTTTCTCTTTTACATTTTACTTTAAGATTCTTTTTTCATTGAGATGAAACCAAGGTGAAGTGAGAAATAATTTTGAATTTTTTTTAATATATATATTAAAATTTCCCACCTAGCTTTAATTAGAAATGGCATTATATGGGATATATGGAATACAGACAAAGCCTAGTTGCTTTGGGAAATAATATATTCAAGGACAATTTTGAACAGCTTCATGTACTTACATGTCTTTTAGATAAGAGGAAAGTACCTGTATGGAAGAACATACTGCTTCCTGAATAGATGACCTTGCTTTGCATAAAAAAGGCACCCATACGAATCTTAGTTCTATCACTGTATTCACATAATACTCCTTTGTGGTAAACTAAGTGCCTCAAATCTAAAACGTATTTCCACCATCTAGTGAAATGCACAAAATATGAGAAAGACTTTGCAGTGACAAAGTCAAAAGGTTTATTTTACCAGGACCTCTTTCAGCATCATGGGTATTTGTCTGGATATTGTAGCTAAGGAAATGGATTGGGATTTAGAATTATAGAAGGTGAAATCCTGGGTCTGTTAAAACTAAAGACAGAATTGCCATTAATGTTGCTAAGATCTAACCCAGCACTTTTAATGCTAGCTGTGCCTTTGACTCTGTGGGCTGTTCCTATATATTCTAAGTCAAGTGTAGCAGTTATGAATCCTGTGTTACAATGATACGTAACAATGGCCTTAAATCTCTGGAAATGCCAAATGTTTACCTGAATTAACTCATGGAGTTGTGAGTACTAATTAAATGTGCAGTATCCTCTGGAAGTCAAATGTTGTAGGTAAGCAGATTTTTTTCTGAACGTTTCAACATTAAAAAAAGTAACAAGAAGTATCCAGTACCTCTGATCTTCTTTGTATCCCGTTTCTAAGCCACTGCAAATGTGCAGTACATTCTGCTTAAACTTTTATTTTAATGAGCTGTTTTTTTGTTTCTGTTTGTATCTAAAGATAGCTTTTCCTCTGAACTGAGAAAGTAATTCTCTCATGGTGGGCAAAACAAAATGTTACAGCTGGACTTAAATGCCTACACGTAGGCTTGTCGTGCCATTGTAGATGCCTTATAGCATGTAGTTTGCTCTTCGGTTAGGACGTGGGTCTCTTGTAGGTCCTGTATCATGCTTGTTGCTGCTGTGTCTTGTTTCTGCACAATGTGCTGAATTACAGCTCATCTCAGAGTGATAAAGAACACCAGCGGAGTGTTGAATTATTAGGTGTCTTTCATTAGATTTCTCTCTAATGGCACTAACCAGGGTGGTAGGAGTGTTATGGGATGAACGACAGTTCTTGATTAGTCTTTAGTATGGCAAGGTACATTAAATAATTATGAAATTTGATGAGAATAGTGACCTTTCTGAGATCACTCAGAGAAGTAGTGAAAGTAAGGAAAACTGAGAATGTTGTCTTAAATGACTGGAAAGCATATTGTAGATGTGCATATCCAATATGCAGAATATCTTCTGTGAGGAATCCAAAATCATTGTGGGACTGTATTTCTAAACCCAAAGTGTACTTATGAAATTATTACAAGGTTAAATGCAGAAAGGCATCAAGGTTTGTGATCACTGTCAATATGTTAGAAATGATTTATTATTTGTTTCTCCAAGGAACTTTTGATGTCTGAAGAACAGCTAAAGTGTTTTCATTTTGAGAATCTTCTAAATAAAACAGATGAGTTTGAGGAAGGCTTGTAACCACTTAAAGTTATTGTATCGCTATAGCGATACTGCAGTATTTGGTCCTTGCACTTGTTTAATTACCATTGAAGAAAGTGTTGTTTTTCCAATTATATTTATCCACATCCTCTAACTTGAAGGTTAAGAAAGAAAAAAAAGTGCACATTACTTCTGTTAAAGAAAATATTTATCTGTTAATCTTAAAACTTAGTCCAAACCTTAGTCCAAAAAGTGTGTATATATAATTATAAGTAACTTAATGAAAATTATGTGTTGGTAACAGCAGTTTTTTTAAAGGTATTTGAATGTGTTAAAATCCAGTTATGTGAAATACAGTGAGAAGATTGAAAAATAGACAACTTTTTTATTTTTTAATTATTGTTTATTATAATAAATTATGAATGCTTCAGGGAATTTCTGTGTATTTTACTTGTTATAGTAATCAGCAGTTCTACTGCTGCGTTATTTTATGCTTAAGTTCTGTTCTAAAGCAAAAAGAAAGAGAGCTCTATGTGTATTTGAAAAATATTAGCAAATGCTTATCGTTGTAGTGAAGTCCTAGTGAAGTGCAATCTATTATTCCTTGCCTTTTATCTTATTTGCAGCTTTTCAAGACATTGGAATGTCTGGAGATGCTTTTTTTTTTTTTTACTCCAGGCTTGCTCAGAGTTGCTGTAATCCAATATTTATCTTATTGCTATTTTAGTTGCTGATTTTCATGGGGAAGGTTTGCAATTTTATGAACAGTTATTTTAAAGTCTGAGAGACCCAACAGGACTAAATAGAAAATAATTCTGTTTTCCATGTAGATAAGCACAGAAATGCACGAATAAAAATCAGCCTGGCCTCTTCTCCACACTTCAGAACTCTCCTCTATTGCTGTATGAGCCTTTGGGAAATGGACCATGTTATCTTTAATTTGGTAAATAATTAAAAATAACCACACAGAATTTTATCAAAAGTGTAATTTTAGATTAATTTGTGAATAATATATCCAGCCTGATGTACTAAAGCTATGGTGTCTTCCTTCCTAGCTGAAAGAAAACCTTGTCATTGGCCAGTCATAGTTGTTAAGACTCTTTTTTTTTTTTTTTTTTTTTTTTTTTTTTTTTTAATGCGACTTTGCAGCATATGAGTAGGATCTTACCAAGTTAGCCACATTTGTTCTGTGGTAAGCCATGCATTGAGTAAGGGAATTTAACAATTTTCACAGGCTTTGAGCTTATTTTACACTGTGATAACCCTTAAAACCATAGCATATGCCTTATATGTCCTAAGAGAGCTTCTTTGTCACTTGTAGCTTTGGAAGCTTTGTGATCCTTGTTTTTTTTGCTGTCTACTGAGTAGTATAGTGATCGTAAGTTGCCACTATTCAGAACATGTCTTTTGTTAAGTGTGTGGTGTGTGTGGTTTTTTGAGATCTACCCCTGAAGTTTTAACCAGACAGGTACTTATTTTAAAATATCAACTCTGTTTTTTGAGATTATCCTTGTCACGTCTAGATTTTGCTATTTTAGGTTCCATGTAATGGCACTTATTCTTCTTGTATTCGTTTGGCTGATTTGCTTAATTTAAATAAGAACAAGTCCGCACTACATTTATTTTTGAAGTGAAGAGAAAAAATGACTTTATTTGGAATGCTGACAATGAGCTATATATTACCACAAACAGCGCTTTTTATTTCCTTTTATTTGGAAAGCAGTGATTTGTCTGAATTTTTAGTGTAGTTCTTAAGTGAATAATGATGTAAGAACCTTCTTATTTGAGGCTTCTTATAAATGTAGTTATTTATATGATAGAAACTGTTCAAGCTTGGATTATTTATGCAGGCGAAAAACGGCTGTGGATTGCTATAATTTTTCTTTCCCATCTTCTCTGATCTAATTGATTTTTTTCCCTCTGTGCAGTGAGTGCTAAATACGACTGTGACTTTGTTTTAGGTCCTTAGGAGCAATGTGGACCCTTTTCCTTGAGGAAAATGGTCAGCTTCAGCCCTCGCCTCATCAAGGCAAGCTCTGTTCCCTCATGGCTTCAGACAAGAGTGTTACAGCCTTTCCTTTTTAGCAGAACTGATGTCATTATACATCTTAAAAGTAGTATGATTGTTGACGTGCTCTTTTCTTCATTTCTGTGTTTTTTACCCCACAGCAATCAAGAGGTGGATTACAAGATTATCTGCACCTTTGTCCCCCTCTATTGATTTCACCTCTGATAGCAGTTCTCTCCTACAGCTCTAAGATTGGAGCCTGGGTTTGAACTCTAGAGTATACTGTGATGTGAATCCACGTAGTTTATCCAGTACCTTTGATTGTTGCAAAATCTGTAATTCTGCCTTTGAGGATATGCTATCATGGCTAAGAAGAGCATCTAGACAGCATTTGTAAAGTGTTTTTAATGGTACTAGACAGCATTTGTAAAGTGTTTTTAACTATTAATGGTAAGAATAAAGCAAATATGAAGAGGATTTTATATCAGTAAAGACCTCCCCTACCTAGAGCCAAGAAGAACCTAATTTTTTTAGATATACCAGCAGGATCTGGGACTCTTTGTCTGTAAACAGTTTCTTAGCAACAGCTGCCTGTCCCCTAGAAAGAATGTCACTTTTTATCCATTGTGAGTTCTTGTTCTGTTGACTCCTGGATTTTTGCAGCCCTTCTGCCAAATCAGTACCACCTAGATTAGGGGAAGGTTGATGCAGTCTCCTCAGGGGTGATGGTTCTTCTTTCTCTAGTAGTAGTCACCTGAGGTTCACTGAGGTGTGTTTGATGTTAAATCACTATTTGCTTTATCGTTCCTCTCCCAAAATGACTGCTGTCACAGTCCAGCACTATAAATTGTTTCAGTGCAATTTCGTAAACATTATGAAAAGATAGAGTACCCTCATTTCTACTTCCATTTAAATCTAAGAGATGATAAATCAGAAACAATGAAATGGAATTTTTAAGCTAACATAATTTGAACTGGTTTTGAGAAAGAAAATTGTTTTTTCCCCACAGCACAGCAGGTCTCCTCCTGCGTCAGGACTTGTATGGATTCTGATTTATCCCATTCTTTGAAATAGGAACAAAGAAAATGGGAGCCCTTTCTGATCAGGTTTTTAGCGCTTTTATCTTGTTGCTGTCTGCAGGCCTGCAGCTGAAGTGACCAGTTTTTGGAGACTTGTCTGCATTGAACATCTGCAGAATAAATTGCATCTAGATGTCAAACAGTGGCATGTACCAAGGAACAGATCTAAACCTTATCCATCATAATGCAGTAGTAAGTAGGAAAAAAGGTGAGGGGTAGGGTAATCTCCCGGGACGTTATAAACTTGTGGTCAGTTTTAAACAAAGATGTCATTTGAAAATAGCAATCTTTTTCTTTTAGCCAAAGAGCCATATGATTTGAAATGTAGAAAAAACTCTTACTAGTTCTTATTCCTTCTTTTTAATTACAGACTAAAGACTGTTAACCTGGGGCTGGGAGAGATCAACTAATTGATTCAGGCTATAGGAAGTTCTAATTGTCATATTGGTGAAGTTCTTGCGATTGATACACCTCACCTTACCTTAGCTGAGACTGCTTTGGGATCTGGATATACCGATCTCATGGATGGGAAATTTTGCACCAAATGGCATCGGAGTAGAATTGTCATAAACTCATTTAATAAAAGACGGGGAAAAGTAGGCTGGAATTGGTCTCTGTTATATTCCAAGTAATCATGTGGCCAGATGAAAGAAGTTTATTGTTGTTTTTGAATTGATTTTTTTTCATTATTATGTTATGACTATATTGTATTTAGACATTTTCTGCTAATGTCTATGTTTGGTTTAACCTGGCGCTTTAAAGAAGCAAGGAAGAAAACTGTATCCTAGCTTCAGAAAAGCAGCCTTCAAGAAAATGTGGTGCATGATACCTACAGAAAATGCTTGAACTATTAAGTGTAAAGGTGCCAATTTAATGCACCAGTTTGAGTTGTTTTTGCCAGCTTGATGAACTAGCAGATCAAAAGGATGCTTACACTAAGATCTTGAGAAGCCGTTCTCTGGAGATTGGGGAAGCAGATGGGATTTCTTCAGCTTCTTGCAGATTCAGGAGAAATAAAGTTATCTCATAATTACCACAGGATGGTTGGGCCCCCGATATGTGTATTGTTCCTTTTCTTTAATCTTAATGCAATAAAACTGTTGAGGTTTCAGTTTGAAAAGATAGTCTTTCTGCTTTTATTAACAATCCCCTTAGAGAAGTAAGGCCTGCAGATGTTGGGATCGGCTAGATCTGATGCATAGCCGTAGCCGCTAACATAGGCTGTAGCGTGTGCCCTAATTTAAGGGAATTATAGAATTCTTTCTACCCTAAAAGAGGGAAAATCATACATGAGTCTTTATGTCTGAGTGCTTTTGAGGAAAACGGAGGAAGCAGACATTCGGAGAACTCTGTTACTGTAAGAAGCTGTCTTGTTTCTTACAGTCATCTTTGTTTCCTCCTCTTTGTTTCCTTTGAAATTCAGAACTTTTGCTATGTACGGAATAGGGAGTTAATAGGTAGTTGAGAGATTTTGCTGGGAGTGGCTTGACTCAAGGCGCAAACATGAGTAGAAAGAGTTCTGATTTATGAGAGAGAGATTAGATGCTGCCATATGCAACTAGGAAGCAGGAAAAATAAAGATAGTTTAAAATACTGGTATGTTTAAGAGATAACATTAAATTGAAAAAAGTGCTGGCTAGGAAGACAAGATGAAAGATGAACTTTTGAAGAACTTTCTGTGGAAAGTGCAATAGAACTTTTTCACTTTTTAAGAGCTGCTTGGGTGGCTTCCTGTCAAATAACATAAAATGGAATGTAAGGAAAGATTTGGACTAATTTCTTGGTATTTTACTGTTTTCAATATTCTCCATTTCATTTTGGCCATGAGTAGTCCATTGTTTTAAAATGTCAGCTCAGTTTTCATGGTATATTGTATATATATTTGTATATTTGGTATATTTGGTATATTTGTCAGTATAGTTATTTATATCGTGTATATAAATGAAACAGTAATCTTGGTGAGTAGCTACCAGTAATTGGTTATTTCCCTCTAACTTTGGGCCAAACTTACTTGATAATTTCTCTTTCCTGTAGTGATACTTCCTCATCATTATAATTTCTCTGTTTTTCTGTGAGACGTGGATAAATCCCAATCAAAATATGTATTTTTTTCTTTTTCTCTCAAGTACGAGTAGAATTCTTCTATCATATGCAAGCTTTCAGTTTATATATATATATATATAAATAAAAAGCCTACCTTCTTTCTAACCAAATTAGTGTAACTCTGCTGTATATGCTTGAACAAAATGTTTGAAGACTGAAGTGAGCTGACATGCAGCGAGTCATCTTCTGTTGAGAATAAAACCCAGTACACTTGTGAATGGAATCCTACTTTGTGAATAGAACATGTATTTTATTGTAATTATGGTATGTTGTATGTTTTTTTCCTTTTTTCATATATTTTTGCTTTTAAGAGAAGTACTAATTAGGAAGGTTTTAATTAGACTCGTGAAGTGCTCTCTCACATATTTATAAATCTGAAATCATTCGAATGACTTGGATTTGGTAGAACTTTATTATGATTAACAATATCTGCCCTAAATATTTTGAGTAGTCTTTGGAATCGCCCCCGCTGACAATACCTAAGGAGCACCTAAAGCTAGATGCAAACACTAGGGTACCTAAGAAGTTTAATATTGAACTGTGGATCGCAAAAGCTTGACAAAGCTCTTTGTTCTAACACTTTGACAAGCTGCTTATTAGTCAAATATAGGATTTGAGCAGAAATGTAAGTTGATCTGATGGAACAGATGAAATGCCAAGGTCTAAATAAATCCAAATGTATGTTGCTTTATATTACAAAGATTTCTGCAAATCTTTGTGATAACATTAAACATAGTGGTTATAGGCAAAGTTTGTAATAACATTTAGTATTCTCTTTCTAACAGTGACTGAAAACACAGAGGTTGTGTTGACTGTTTCTTCTCTGGTTATTCCATCCTAGCCTTCAATAGTAGCTGTTTATGGATTTCCTAAGACTCAAGGTAGCCTCTGAACAACATTTTTTAATTGAGGACAGATGTATTAATGCTACCCTCATTAATGTTACCCTCTTCATCTCTGAAACGTCTGATTGCAATTAGTTCCACAAATTCGAGTGAATTTTCGAGTTCCTTTTTGATGCTTCTAAGCCTGATGACTGAAGAATTTATTAGGAGGTTTTAAGTTCTTATATAAAATGCTGTGTGACAACACCGTTATATTCACTTTCTCCATGCTGTTTGTGTTTACGTGTATTTTAATTGTTTCTTCTATGTGATTTATATTGAAAATTGAATATTGAAGTCTGTTTAGACTCTCTTCATATGGAAACTATTCAATGCCTCTGCTAATTGAACCTTTAAAGATACCTCTTCTAATTCTACCAGACTGTTTTGGAGATGGAAGTGTACACAGTATTAAAGATGTAGATGCGTCAGAGACGACTACAGTGGCATACTGATGCCCCTTCCTTTCCTGACCAAAACGGTGCAGAACTGCTTTTTAGAGTACTTCCAGTTCTGACTCCAAAATCTCATTCCTGAGTAATTGCTAACTTCAAGACCCTCATTTTATATGTAAAGTAGGGTTGCTTTTCTCCACGTACCGTATTTTACAGTTGTGAAAAATGTAATTTCATTTGCCATTTTTTGCACCCTGTCGATCTGCAGTCCTGTGTAGTAAAATTAATTTTGGCATATTCTGAATATTTTTCTATTATTAGCAAATAGTCACTTCACTGTTCACCTCCTTTTTTCCAAGTTATATATGAACGTGTAAGTCAATGTGGATTCCTGCACAGATTCCTGGGAAACCAGGTTCTCCCATGCGGTAACTTACATCTCTGTAAGAATTGTGTGATGATTTTCCTGTTGAGGGAGGACACTGGTGGAAGTCCTTTCAAGCTGCCCAGGTAGTCTCTCTAGGACTGCTGAGAAGCAGCGTGCAACTCAAGGTCCATGTGCGTACTGATTTTTCTAGAGAAGAATAAGTCTTGAGGTGAAAATTAAGGCTGTGAAGTAGAAAAAATGAAGATTAGGATATTCCTAGTGGTGTTCTCTGAAATCTTAAGAACTTTGTAGTCACCTAGGATGAGAAAGAAGTTGAAAAATCTCAAGTGGAAAACGATGAAGAACAGTCTGAACATCTAGCATTCAGGGCACAGAAAGTAACTGAACAAAACATACATGTCTCTATACAAATATTAGAGGCCTAAAAAAAATAAAATAAAGGAGCCGAGCTAGGCTTCCTGTAAGGATATTGATACAAATAGTGTAGTGACAGAAAATCAGTGCATGGAATGCTGATACTCTACAAGTTATATAGGGAAGGCAAGGTCTCATGGTGTGGGGTTGTGCTTTACCTTCCATAAGGCTTAGACTCCAGGTAGATAAGTGAGTTAACTGTTTTAATAGGTAATATAGTAAATATTCTTATGGACCAAAGTTCTGTCACAAGGTAGGAAAAGCACAGTAATGACAGGGCAGAAGTTGTCTGTCCATAGACTGTTTTATTGAGCTGCTAGTCAGGGATCCCAGAAGAGGAAAAGCGACTCCTGATCCTGAAGAATACATAAGAGCTATCTAAAGCCGTTACTAGTGAAGACGTGATCAGACGTGTTTTACACAGAATCCCAGAATGGTTTAGGCTGGAAGGGACTTCAGGAGATCATCTAGTCCAACCTCCCTGCTCAAGCTGGGTCACCTAGAGCATATTGCCCAGGATCACATCCAGATGGGTTTTGAATATCTCCAGCGAAGGAGACTCCACTACCTCTCTGGGCAACCTGTTCCAATGCTCTGTCACCCTCACAGTGAGGAAGTCTCTCAGGTTTAGATCAAATTATGTAGTTCAAATACTAGTAGGAGGTGGGGTGGGGGGGAAAGCCCAATTAACTATACTAGTGCTTAATCTCAAAAAGGGAACTACACATACGGGGAGACATGCTTAAAAGGAAATTAAAAGGAACACTAAAAATTTTTTGTTTATTTTGGCCTTAGAAAAGGTATCCTCCAAATAATGCGCAAGTTTTCAAAATATTACGAGAGAGGCCAAAATATTAAGGACATGAAGAGTAACAACGAATTCATTTCAAATTCTTTGGAAGCAAGAAGCCTTCCAGACAATTGGCAGCTAGTAGATAATCGACATGGAAAAGGTACAATCAAAGAGCGTATGGTCCAGCAGAAAAGCTAAGGAAATTCTGTGCATCT